GAAATTAAAATTGAGTCAATTTCATGCCTGGTTTGAAATATTAGCTAATCTCAAAGTTATATTATTCCACAATTTGTACGTGGAATAAAATAATCTCTTTGATATGTTTTTATTTATTTCATCCTGCGTAACAAACTATCCTTGTAATTATTGTCTATGTAATTTCATTTTTTTAACACGGTGAATAAAGTGTAAAAACAAGATTTAACTAAAATAATTTATTTTAATTTGTCTTAATTTATGTGACACAATTTTCCTTTGTTTAAAATATTTAAATTTATTTTTAAAACCAAAAACATGATGTTTAATTTTTATCCTGCAGGTAAGTTGTTTTTTGTTGTTTGTCTTTAGTCATCACATTTACATCTGATGAAAAATAAGTTTTTTAAAATTAAAATAACATAAATTGTTAAATGTTATAATATAAAATATAAACATATACTGTGCGAAATTTTTTAATTTCATTACTAGAGACAAAATTCAAAGACAAAGCATAAGAAAAGACAAAAGTGCAAATGGCCAGTCCATTAATGCATTCAATTCATTGGAATTACAGAACTAGGCCCAGAAGAAACAAGAATCCGATTGACAGAGCCTCTTACGTTAGTTTAAAAAAACGGGTGCAAAAAATTCTTCAAAAATTCAAATTAATCCTTACTTTGAGCATTTGATCATATTTTATTATAATTTTTTTAAATAATGTATTTTTTATTTATAGAAAAATGATATTTAAAAATCAAAGTTCTTTGAGGTTACACACACAAATTAGAGTGTATTTTTTTTCAACATTTTTCGTTTGGAGACCAAAAAATTCAGATTACTGCAAATGTGTGTTGGCAAAATTATAGGCGTTGGATAGGAAACCAAAAGAAGTTGGAATAAAAAAAAATCAAACAAACGCACTGAACAAGAAAATGGCACTAAACAATATTTTATTCGTTATCTTTAACCCCAAATTAATCCCAACGATGTATATGTATATTACATTATTGGAAACCAGCTGTTAATTAACTTGTGAGAAGAGAATCATCAAGTCACATGGCAAGGGGCCACCATTTCCTTTGCCAGGTAGTATTTGAACCCATTGAAATAACACACGCAACTTATTTTCCTCTTTTAGGTAATACATAACCTAAAATGATCACAATCTATCATGTGAGCTCTTTAATATGAAGACAAACTTTGCATAAACTTGGAATATACTGCAACTCTCCAAAGTCAAATCGAGACAGCTAACATACAACAATAAGTAATTAAGAGAGGTATAACAAATGAAAAGAGTAACATGAAAGGTCTCCGTGATCCACGCAATCAATTTCTCCAATGAAACAATTGTAAACTTGTTTAGGTAACAACATAAATAAACAAATTTTTCAGATCAACCCCCACACACCAATTTGATCTGAAATAAAAAATTGATTTTCAGGTCAAATGATAATGGCACTTGGTGGTAAAAAAAAAAAAAGATGGTAACTTTCAAGAAAAAAGAAAATACAAGCACACAAAAAATAAATCTAAACACTTTCTTGACACTTGGTTTAACTAATTATCTGAAGCATCCAGCATGTATGGTTCACTTAACCATCCTACCAGAGCAGAAGAAATGCATCCCACACAGCAGCGGTTGCGAAAAGAGCTGGTATCATTATCTGTGCTTTAAATGAGTTGAGCAAATTTGTTGAACTGCTGCGTACTGGAGCAGCTTTTGGAGGTGGAGGTGCCTTTTCAACATGAATAGCCACTTTCATGCCTCCATAACAGTATCCTTTTCCACTAGCGAAATAGTAGGTTTTAGTCACATTAAGCGGAACAACGTCCCTTCCTGCTCCAGTAGTCCAATTGTGGAGAGGATGATCAGTATTGCAGCTCTCGTAGTCTGTCTTGTTTAGCTCAAGCACATTCATCTGGTTCCTGTCATACACAAAAACTGGGATGGGAGAAGGAAGAGTTACTAAACAACGACAAATAACTGAAGATATCTCAATATTTTACAAATCTAAGAGTTCTATACTATACAGACTGAATAACTTGTAATGTGTCTTTAAGTTATTGCGAGGCAAGATAAGCATAGCAATCGGCAAACACTACACATGTACATGCACAAGTACACACTTAAACATCATCGAGCCGTTTGAAAATGATAAAATATTTCTTCAATAGATTACACATTATGCACTAAACTAGATTAGAGAAATTAGCAACGCTTGTCCAGAGCATTAGCTGGAACCAGTACTGTGACAAAAATATTTGTCCCTACTAAACAACTGGATGATTCTGGACAGGATCAGCCATGAGGCTGACATCTAAGCATGTGGCTGGAATAGTTGCCTTATCCAATGTTTTTTCTCTTTTGTTTAGCTATAATGTCCTACCAAATCCATTTTTATAAGCATTTAATTGTTGCAAATTGGCTTAAAGATTAGAATGTCAGACAGAAGTGGTTACTTGAACTTCAGATCCAAACAAAAACAGTTGAGAGTAAAGACAGAATTATACAGTCACCGGAAGAAAATTGGATTTACCTTCTAATGACAAGAAGCACAAAACAATTTCTTTAATCAATGGCTAACATAACAGCTAATCTGTGCTAATGCATTAAGAAATGGAAAAAACAAGTTTGGAGAAGTTGCTTAGCCATCTCTACAGTCACACAAAACTACGGACAGTGAAGATCATGAATACAGCATGAATTTGGGGATAACACAACTTCTTTTCTTCTTATGAGAAATAAAGGAATATTCTTGATGTAAAAACAACCAGCATAAAGGAAATACTGGGGGCAAACGTACATCCAAAAGAGAACGTTACGATGTGTAAAAGGTGATATCACAACTGTAGCTTCTTTATGTAAAAACAACCCGCATAAAGGAAATACGGGGGGTAAATGTACATCCAAAAGAGAAGTTTACTATGTGTGAGAATGGTGGTATCACGACTGTAGCTTCTTGATATAATAATAAAAACAAACAGCATATAAGGAAATGCGGGGGACAAATGTATATCCAAAAGAGAAAATTACAACGTGTGGAGACTGTTTATGACATCGCAACTATAGCACTAAAATGACAAGTAATTCAAGATTATGCTTTCATTCATTGTAAAACAGTATCATATGTGTGCGATTTAGATCTAAATAAACCCCCCCAAAAAAGGAAAGGGCAACATTTAATTTCAAACGGAACACCATTGCCTTTATGAAGAAGCTGCCAGCTAAAAGCAGTCATAAAAAGGAAAAACTTCAAACTTTCATCACCGAAAATGCCCAGCTGGAAACTCTATAATTCAAATTAGGTATAAACAGAGTAAATGCCATTCTAAATGCAAGCTAAAAACATAGATCTGAACGACACAGAAGAATTCTACTTAGAAACTAATTCACTCCTTCACAGAAAAAAAAAAAGGCAATTTACACCAGACCTTCACCATCTAGCACCATCTAGTCAATCAAAGTTTCCGAAAGTTCACTCCTACTAATGAGCACCGGAAAAGGCAGAGCTCCAATTATAGAAAGCAGCAAGCAAATAAATGAAACCCAGCGTAAACCACAGAGCTTAAACAGAAAACTAAGGCTCCAAGCTCCAACTATAGAAACAAAATTATACTCATATTTATACTAAACCCCGGGTATATCTAAGATCCAGACAAATTTCTTATTAGTAGAAACAAGCTAAGAACAGAAGAAAATCTTAAGAATGAGCTGAAAGAAGAGTAGATCTAGAGCTTACAGAGCCAGTCTCCGTTGTAGAAATGTTTGTCCTTAGCCCAATTGGTGTAATTGACACTGTTAGTCCACCCGAATCTCGATCCCACAATGTACCGAATCGAGTACACTTGAGGCAGCATCACGAGCAAAGCGCATGTTAGCACCACCGCCATTGTCGGCCAACCAAAGCTCCTCCTTCTCACCGCCTCCATTGCTACAATAATATCTTCTCGCAACCTCTAGAGTTCTTAGCTAAGCTCTTCCTTCTTCTTTTTGAGAGATGCATGTGGACTACCTTATTTATAGTTGAAACTTCGAACTTTTACTCAAACTGTAATTTTCTTTTCTTTTGCTTTTTACAAATACCAATGCGGCTGGCATTTAGCAAAAGTCAAATTTTCTCATATTCAATTTAGAACTCGAAAATTTTATTTAAAAATAAATAACTTATTCATTATACCACGATCGTTAATAAATAATTTAGCTTTTTAATTATTTTAGAAATGTACACGAGTTTTTTTAAATTTAACGCAATGTCAAAACTTAACAGCTCATTTAGCACATAGCATGCGCCTACTTTCTGCCCTCCAACTGCTTGTTATCCATTATTACCACCTTTTAATCAAATTTTGAACTCAATACATCGGTTAGTGAATTATATGCCTACCTTATTTAGTTATTAATTTATAATATCACCGTTCCACAATAAAATTGTAAAAAATAATATATAAATAACTAAATTTTGAAATAATCTCCCTGAATAACTTTAACTAATAACAAAACGTCTTTCGAGTGCGAGCAATCAGTAAATTTAGATCAGTTTCTCAAATTATTCATAGATGAAATTAAATTAAATTTAATAAAAATATTATTATTATTATTATTATACAATATTAACATAGTTTAACGTGTTAGAATCATATTTGATGAATAACCGACACAATTTTAATGTTGAGATTATGAATTGCTGACTTTTTATGTTTTAGAAACGTATAATAGTATAAGAAAGTTTATGAGTTGAAAAATGGAACACAGCAGACAAAGTTGTCAAATTTTGCATTTTTTTCCTTTAGTTTTTTCTTTAAAATGAAAAAAAAAATCAAAGAATTTCACAATAAAACTTAGGTCCAGTTAGGCATTTCTGATCCTAGATTTACGGCTTGTATTTACTACTAAAAAATTATTTTATAGAGTAACACGACATATAACGTAATTAAATTTGAAAAAAATATTCAAAGCTCGATACTTGTAAAAGTCATCAACATGAAAATAGCAATTCCTTGGTCAAAAGAGATCATTTTCTCTGGTAACAGTCAAAGAATAGGAATATCCTTAAACAAATCTGGTAAAGTACACTGGAAAAAAAAAAAGGATGCACTGACAGAAACCACATGGGAATTCATTGGACAAGACCAGCTTATTTATGTTCATTACTCAAAATTTATCACTTACACATCCTCAAGGACATAAAAAACATAAATTACAACTGTTTATCTTCAGTGCTTGCCATGCTTTGTGACAGATGTTGGCTACCTGTGAATCACATTAAAGGTAACTGCTTTAACCAAAACATACAACTTCATGCACAGACTTAGTTCAACTTCAACGAATCTTGCAAAACTTAGTGCAACTGGTTGAGTGATGAAAATTTAAACAAAGATATTAATTTACCTAGTACATGATTTTGAAGCTTGAGAATGAATGTTGCAGATCTAATCCCATATATATAAGTAAAACTGATATACGAAATGATTAAATAACATATTTTGAACACCCTTAATATAATAAGTTGCTATTTCTGGACACCCTTTGTTAAATTCCTGGCTCCACCACTGATTGGTAACCAATTTCAAGCATGACCTACAAAAGCATGGTTGAAGACTCGGAACCAATGTCGTTATCAGATAAAATAGGTGCCAATTCTTACTTAGAATCAAGATAGGCTGTCATCCTCATTTTTCCAGAACCAAATGCTGCATCAGTTATGTCAAGCTTATTCTTCTTATGGGGATAACTGAGTGATAACATAGTTATGCAGATTACTTTTTCTTATGCAGCAAACAAATGTTAATACTGTTTATGTGGAAGTTTATGCTGAGATTTATTTTTGCTAATGTCCAACCAAAGGATCCCTAAGAGAAACAATCATTTAAAGTAAATGCATTACAAGGAAATTCATGAGAAACAAAGAATGGCCATAACGGACAATAGAAAGGACAGAATGGATCTGATGAATTATAGCAATTGTTGTGTTCGCCACAATCGGAATAAACTTATTATCAACCTGTTCGAGAACTTTGGCACCCTCTAGGCAGTTTTTATCAATGGTATCAGGAAGTGATTAATCACCGATAAAATGCAAGACATCAGAAGTGACATTGAGTATAGAATCCTGATTCTTAAGATTCGTTGTTCCAGCACCACTCTGCATCTCATATTGGAAAAAGTAAAAATTTATCATCTTAACAAAATAAATAGAGAAGAAGTCCCAAGAACATCTGAGATATAGCTTAGGTAAACAACTGTAATATCTGGAGGGAAGTCCCTCCATTTTCTCCCAGAAACTTCACTTTTTGTTGGTGCAAATTGTGAAAACTTAAAGAGTAAAAAAAGCCAGGCATGACAATTCTGTTACAAAATCAGAACATATGCAAGATGGAATATGAAAGAGACTGTAGTGCAGGAGACTAAGAAATAGACATTGTAATTTCTAATGCTTTCATGATTAATAAGAACGCAGTCTAAGATAATCTTGAGAAGTGGGAGAAAGAAATGCAGCTACTTAACTGAAACATGCACTAGAAACATTCAGCTGTTAATTCTTATTCAGGTCATGAACAAATGACAGGAATGGTTCATCTTCTTTTGACTTCCCATCACGTGTACTTGTGCACTCCCCTTGAGCTTGTAATTTGCTATTCCAAATGTTAACAAGTTTCATTTCATACTTGGCCTGATAAGAGAAACATCAGGTTGTGAGAGTTACTAACATATTTGATTGAGATAATATCAGCAAGACACCTAACCCTCCGAAGAAATTTAATAACATTACCTTTCGACTGAAAATAAACCGTCAGTCCGTCACCACACTGTAATGTTCAATGAAGTTAAATGCTAGAATCAAAGAAAGTGTAGAAAAGATAACTTATCACATCCTTTTATCCATACTTGTATACTTCCACTGGGTAAACATCAGGACCTGAGATGTATCCTGAAAGCTTGAATGAACAATTGTTTGCACTCAATTTGTTAAGGGAACTCAGATGAACCCCACCAGAGATGTATTCTGAAAGTATGAATGAACAATTGCTTGCACTCAATTAGTTAAGGGAACTCAGATGAATCCTAAACCCACTGGACAATAGTGCAACGGAGAAGGAGAAGCACCTGGGCAAAGCAGGTCATCCTCACTGCATGCAAATATACAACATCATAAAAACCAGAGTTAACTGGTGTATCAAATATGGACCTTTCAATATCAACAATTTTGAAGGGGACACTGGGATGCACAAGGGTCAAAGAATGCAAGACCTTGTTTGGGCTTCAGGATTATATATACAAACCAAAAGATCAATAAGATCAGAGTATAGCTTTAGAAGTGAAGTATGTAAATCAAATTTTTTACTTGTTTGTGTTTGAGGAAAACTAGAAAGTACTTGAAGTGCATTTGCTTCCTTCGAAATGGTGGATGTAAAATACATCACAAACCCACCTGAAATGTCGTGCCAAGCAACAGTTCTTTAGCTTCACAGGCAACATGTTTGATAAAATATCGAAGGATGAAAACCTCAAAATCTTCATTGTGTATAAAACGGAGCAGAGTGAGTAATAAGAATACGAAGAGAGGAAGTGCATGTGTAATATCACGAAAAGGGTGGTTAGGTGAGGAGTGGGAAAGAAACTAAACTTTGTCAAGTCAAAACACGAATCAGCTCAATAGCTTAGGAACCTGTCATGGCTGCAGCCTGCAAGCATTAGTTAGATTCATGAGACAGAAGGAACAACATGAAATGGAACTTTCTCCAAAATGTAGGATGCATTTGAGATGCCATGCCAATTGCCAAGCAACAGTTTTTCAGCTCAAAAAAAAAACATTTGATTGTCATTTTGAGTTTGCAAGAGAGGGTGATAAAATAAGAAAAGTGGAAGGTCATGTGTCATTTCAACACAAGGGTGGTTTGGTGAGAAAAACAAACTGACCTCTGCGAAGCCAAAACACGATTAGCTCACAAAAATATTGAAATCCGTCGTAGCTGCAGGTATTATTTAGCCTTATGAGATGGAGAAGAAACACCATGAAATGGAAATACAAGTCCAAAATCTCATAAATCCACCTGAGACGTTGTGCCAAGCAACAGTATTTCAGCTCGAAAGAGAACAGATTTTATCAAACTTGCACGGAAGACAAAACCTCCACATCATAGTTTATAAAACGGAAGAGAGAAAGAGTAATAAGAATAAGAAAAGAGGAAGGTCATATGTAATTTCACAAAAAGGGTGGCTTGGTCAAGGGAAAGAAGGAAACTGAACTTTGCCATGCTAAAATACGAATCCACTTAAAAGCTTTGAAATTTGTCATGACTGCAAGCATCAATAGCCTTATGAGACACAGAAGATGCACCATGAAATGGAACTTCCTACTATATCTCATATACCCACCCGAGGAGCCATGCTAAGCAACAACTTTCCAGCTCAAGAGAGAACATGTTAAATTGCTTTTCTGAGTTATACCAAAGAGAGTAATAAGAACAAGAAAAGTAGAAGGTCATGTAGTTTCACCAAAAGAGTAATTTAGTGACAAAAAGAAATTAAACTTTGCGACGCCAAAACATCACTAGCTCAAAAGCTTTGAAACCCAGCATGGCTTCAAGAATCACATTGCCTAAAGAGAAGAAAGACCTAAATATGAAACTTTTCCCAAAATCTCACAGACCCACCAGAAGTGTCGTGACAAGAAACAATTCTTTTGCTTGACAGCAACATATTTGATAGAACATCGACAGATGAAAACCTCCAAAACTGAAATGTGTATAAAACATAGCAGAGTGAGTAATAAGAATAACAAAAGAGAGAGTGCATGTGTAATATCACGAAAAGGGTGGTTTGGTGAGGGGTGGGAAATAAACTGAACTTTGCCAAGTCAAAACACTAATCAGCTAAAAATCACAGAACCTGTCATAGATGCAAACATCAGTTAGCCTTATGAGAAAGAGAAGAAACACCATGAAATGGAACTTTCTCCGAAATCTCACTGACCCTCTTGAGATGTCATGCCAAGCAACAGTTTTTGAGCTCAACAGAAAACATCTTTGATTGCTGTTTTGAGTTACTGGAGAGAGTAATAAAAATAAGAGAAGTGGAAAGTCATGTATACTTTAACCAAAAGAGTGGTGTAGTCAGAAAAAAAAAACTGAAATTTGCGAAACCAAACTTGAACTACGTCGTGGCTGCAAGCATAGTTAGCCTTATGAGATGGAGAAGAAACACCCTGAAATGGAAATTTAAATGCAAAATCTCATAAACCCACCTGAGTTGCTGTGACAAACCACAGTTTTTCAGCTCAAGAGAAAACATATCTTATTGAACTCCATGGAAGACAGAGTAAGGACATTTGTAATTTCACGAAAAGGGCGATTTGGTTGGGGGGAAGGAAACTGAACTTTGCCAAGCCAACACACGAATCAACTAAAAGCTTTGAAATCTATCAGGGCGGCAAACATAAATTAGCCTTATGAGACAGAGAAGATGCATCACGAAATGAAACTTTCTCCTAAATCTCATATATCCACCTGATGTGCAATTCCAAACAACAGTTTTTCAGCTCAAGAGACAACATATTAAATTGCCTTTTTGAGTTATACCAGAGAGAGTAATAAGAACAAGAAAAGTAGAAGTTTGTGTAGTTTCACCAAAAAGGTGATTTAGTGACAAAAAAAAATTAAACTTTATGACGACAAATCACGATTAGTTCAAAAGCTTTGAAACACAGAAGCGTATGAAGTTTCATTTTTCAGTTGAGCGATAGTTCAATAAGCTATCGTTACCTTCTCACAGTTCTTCCAAATGAAATCACTCATCTGCCGTGTGCTGTAGAACATGACAATGACTGTATTGTCAATGAAGATAACTGCTAGAATTAAACAGAGTGTAGAAAAGAAAACTTATGGCATCTCTTTATCCATGCTTGTATACTTCCATTGTGTAAACATCAGGACCTGAAAAGTATCCTGAAAGCTTGAATGAACAATTGATTGCACTCAATTTGTTAAGAGAAATCAAATGAATCCTGAATCCACAGGACAATAGCGGCAACAGAGAAGCACGAAGCACCTGTGCAAAGCAGGTCATCCTCACTGCATGCAAATAAACAAAAACTAAGAAACTAGACGTGAAATATCCTTGAGTTAGCTGGTGTATCAAAGATAGACCTTTCAACATCAACAATTTTGAAGAAGACACTAGGATGTACAAGGGCGATTCACAGCAGAGACTCTTTCAACTCTTTCAGAGAATGCAATAACCCTCTTTGGGCTTTTAGATTATATATGCAAACAAAAAGCTTATTCAGATCAGAGTACAGCTTTAGTATTGAAGTATGTAATCAACTTTTTTTTACTTGTTTGAGTTTGAGGAAAACTAGAAGTACATGGCGAGTATATCACCAAAAATGACTGCAAAAGAATGTATCAGGAACGTTTGTACAACATCTTAACAACAATCATCAATACCAACATAAAAACACTTGTCTTCCTCTAAACAATGGCAAGAACAAAAACCGGGATAGTTGTTTTATACCAACAAAACTCAAAAGAACTTTATCTTCAAAAACCTTGCTATATACATTTGGCCTTCCCATGAGTTTTAGTAACAATTTCCAACAAAGAATTATCGATGTATTGTAGGCAAGAATTCCAAGAATAGCTAACCATGGAGGAAGAATACCAAGAAAGGTTTTGATCCAAAAGCCAACAATTTCCAACAGATTTTTTTTTTAAGAACTCCAAAAAAATCTGACAATACATTCTTCTGGATTATTCCTAGTTCGTTTAAATGGAAACAATGTCAAAATATTAGGAAGACCAGTAGAATTCCAAGATAATGATTTAGGTTTTGATCGGACATCGTCACTGCAATGGTACTGCGGTAGTCAAGATTAGAAATCCAGTGGAGTACTCGCCGGTGGCGTAATTTGAGAAGATCAGTAATCCGGTGGAGTACTCGCCGGATACGTAATTTGAGAAGATTAGTAATCCGGTGGAGTACTTGCCGGTGGCGTAATTTGCGTAATTTGAAAAGATCAGTAATCCGGTGGAGTACTCGCCGGTAGCGTAATTTGAAAAGATAAGTAATCCGGTTGAATACTCACCGGTGGCTTAATTTGAAAAGATCAGTAATTCGATGGAGTACTCGCCGGTAGCGTAATTTGAAAAGACCAGCAATCCGGTGGAGTACTTCGCCAGTAGCGTAATTTGAGAAGGTCAGTAATCCAGGAGTACTCGCCGGTAACTAATTTGAAAAGATCAGTAATCCGGTGGAGTACTCGCCGGTGGCGTAATTTGAAAAGATCAGTAATCCGGTGAAGTACTCGCCGGTAGCGTAATTTGAAAAGATAAGTAATCTGATGGAGTACTCGCCGGTGGCATAATTTGAAAAGATCAGTAATCCGGTGGAGTACTCGCCGGTAGCTTAATTTGAAAAGATCAGTAATCCAGTGGAGTAGTCGACGATAGCGTAATCAAAAAGCAGGGTAATATAGTTGTGGTTTTACAAAGCGCCTCAATATAGGGTCTATTTATAGTTTTAGAATTAATTAATTATTCATTCATAATTAATACACGCCGAAGAAACAAAAAGAAAGTTACTTAATGTACAAAAAATATTATTTCTTGTAAATTTTTTATTCTAGTGCTTAATATTTTTTTATTTTATTTTAACTTACAATTAATGTTTCCTATATTAATAACTAGAGTTTTTTTATTTTATTAATATAAAATTTATCGTTATTAAAAAAGATGAGTGATTGAGTTATTTATTTAAGGAAAAATAACTTAAATATACAACTATAAGTTTAGTATTCTCTAATTTTCCCTTCATTTTTTAAATATTACATAATTTCCTTTGTTTTAATTTTAGTAGAAGTTTAGATATACATAACCTTCTCTCTCCTATAACACACATTTTCTCAATATCATGCCTATTTTTTCTCCATTAAAATACTTTTTGAATTTTGAATTATTAATTTTAATTAAAAACGTTTCACAACATTTATTATGAAACTTTGAATTTCAAAATTCAAAAAATTTGAAATTTCTGAAATTTGGACCATTGTTCTCTTGTTCTTCTTCTTCTTACTCCATCATCCGTCTATAGTTCTTCTTCTTCTTAATCCATCATCTGTTCTTATTTTCTTCTTTTTTTCTTCTTATTCATTGCTATATTACATCAGCCGTCTCTAGGTCTTTTTTTTCTTCTTACTCTATCATCCGTTCTTCTTTTCTTTTCTTTTTTTTTTCTTTGTTTTTGTTCATTGTTCTATTACATCATATTAATGGATCCTTTTACTAATAGAAGACTTTATGATTCGGACGATGAAAATTGGAAAGAAAATATAAAAAAGTCTTTGCATGATCCTATGAATGTTCGGAAGGATTCAAACAAAGATTTTGGCGAATCATCTAAATCAAAGGTTGACAAAATACACCAAAAAAAGAGAAAAGAAGCAACAACCATTGTTGTTGAAATTAGTAAAAATTTTAGTAAAGGAATCTCATATGTATCATGAATTTTTGAAAATTGTTATCATGTATCAGACAATAAGTTTAATACACAAGTACTCAGTGTGTTATAGTGTGTTAGTCGATGCATTGGTACATGAATTAGATGTGTATCATATGATTTCCTATGTATCAAGAGTTTTTGAAAATTGTTATCATGTATCAATCAATAAGTTTAATAACTGTGCCATCAAGTGTGCTTGCTGATACATATCGACTCAGTGTGTTATAGTGTTTAGACAATGCATTGATACATGAATTTGATGTGTATCATATGATTTTCTATGTATCACGAGTTTTTGACAATTGTTATCATGTATCAGTCAATAAGTTTAATAACTGGATGTTCATAAAAATGTCTTCAAACTAGATGATATAATCTTGGATTTTCAAAATTTGAAATTGTTATCCAATTACGTGCTGAATTAATGCTTATTAATGAACTATTACCGTAATTTAAGCTGATTTAGATAACAAATTTAAATGTTCCATTTTTTCTCCCTTTTAATCTTAATAGTTTTAAGTTACTGTGTATCATTTACCATGTATCACAACATACTAATGTATCATGCCACAACAATTTTAATGGATTATTAGTAAATACTAAATTTGTCGGAACAGAATGTAATTATTGTATTACACTATGGGATTCCTTAAATTTATACATTGTTTAATATATATGACCTATATTATCAAGAATAAAAAAAGATACTCCTCCCGTCCGGATTTTTTGTCATTTTATTTTTAGAGTCAAACTATAAAAATTTTGATTAATATTTTAAGAAGTAATATTTCATCATATTAATATGCAAAAAAATTCCAATTTAAAGTACTTTTCATGTAGTTTTAGAATATTTAATTTTTTGTTTAAAATATCGAATTAATGCAATCTAATTTAACTTTGAAAGTTAGACAAATTGACTTTTGAAAAGCGCAACAGACAAACAATTCCGAACGAAGTACTCAGAACTATTCTATTTTAACTAAAGTTGTCAATATTGGCTAGCTTTTTCGTCCGGGCTAATTCATACAGGTTTTTGACATTTTACGGGTCAAGTCAGGCTAACCTATTTTTTTGTGGTTAGAAAATGGTCGGCCTAACCCACAAGTATATGGGCTACATGCTTACGGGGCCAGCCCACTTTCTTAAAAATTATATTTTTTATAATTATTAAATTAAATTATAAATTACTCCCTCTGTTTCACAAAGAATGGTCTAGTTTGACTTGCCACGGAGTTTAAGAAAATAAAAAAGACTTTTGATCATGTGGTCCTAAATTAAAGTTATGTCAAATATACTAAACTGCTCTTTAATCTTGTGGTATTAAACATGTCACGTAGAAAGTGGTTACCAAAAAAAGAAAAAAGTCATTCTCTTTAAACAGGCTGAAAATTAAAATATGACATTCTTTTTTAAACGGAGGTAGTATAATTTAAAAAATATTATCACAAATATCGACAAAATAATATTACATAATGTTAATCTTACTACTTATTAATCAATCCACAAATAAAATTATGAGATAAGTGTCAAAAACACCTAAACTATCTTTTTTTTTTCAAGTTTCATATACTTAAACTATTGAGAGATATGTGTTTCTCAAACTAAAAAACGATGATTTAGGTATGAAACTCACACTCTCAATAGTTTAGGTATGAAACTCAAAAGGATGATATACTTTAGGTGTGTTTTTGAAATTTTATCTCTAAAATTATCTTTATAATATTTATTAAGTTTTTCTCAAGTAAAGGTAGAAAATATAAATATAAATATTAACCTAATTATTTTGAGTTTTGATTCTCTTTAATTTTAAAATTTAATATTATAATATATTTGTTGATTAATTTTTATTGGTCCACGAGCCGGCCTACCGATATTAAGTCCCACAAATCAGCATGTTTATTCAGGTCAGGCTATTAAATTTCGAATTAGGCCAGACTGGCTCAACTGACCTAACCTATATCAGTGACTCTAATTTAAACTCTTAAAATGAGACATACAAATTGAAATCGAAATCTTAAAATAAAGATGCTACTATAATAAAATAGGAAAAGAGAACGGATAATACAAATTCCGGATAATACAAATTCCAAGTAAAGTCAAAGTAGTTCACTGTGTATATTAAGGGCTCGTTTGGACATAGATTTTTCAAATAATATTTAGAAAAAGCCTTGGCAAATAGTATTTGTCCATACACTTTGTCATTATTTGACAAATATCTCAAATTTCCAAATACTAGAAAAAACTAGTAGTTGGGCCAAATATCATTATTTGAGATCTTTTAGAAATTGAAAGTTTATCCTAAACTTTTATCTTTTACAAAAACACCCCCTATAGTTGTTGATTACTTGTATTACATAATTTTTTACATTAATTCTAAAGTAGTGATGGAATATTCGGTAAATGTGAAATGATAATATAATTACTGATGAAAATGATGAATGATCGGCTCAAGATAACAAAGTCATGTATTTTATCTACTTCACAATGTATAAAATGTTGCTTGTTGCACTTACTCAAAATTACCATATTGCTCCATTGTCATGGACACTATTTGTTATTGTTCTAACAAAGATCCAATTGACTTGTAATACAAACTTATGGTTAATTTTGATATTTTTTAAAACTTATGAGTATAAATCATATTTTTCTAAAAAATAAAATATATATTTTAGTAATACTATGACCAAACAAATGGTAAAATTTCACTCAAATAATATTTGCTAAGAATGTTTGGAAATATATGGCCAGACGCTAGCTAAGATAGGTAAATATATTAAAAAACAACAAGATATTATTTTATAGTGTCAAAATTATCTTTTAAGTTAAATTTTATATTTAATTTTTAAAAAAATATTTATAAAATAAATATTAATTTAATATATTTTACATTAACGTATTTGTTTTGCCGCGTGTTTAACTAATTCCAAAACTATAAAAAGTCCCACCGCCTATTACAGAAGCCTGCTAACTTCATACGCTACCGGCGTTACGCCGTCGGATTTCCGATCAAAACCCTAATTCATCATTGCATTTATGGTTACTCCACCGGATTTCTTCAATTCATTATCGAAAGGTTTGTAATTCCTGGAACTATACATCAAGAACCTGTTTACTTTATCAAGTTCTTGTCAAATTATGTTGGAATTCTTGCGTGCATTGAAACTTGTTGGCTTTCTAAAGAAGTTTTCAAGAATATGTTGGCATTGTACGTATTAAGGAATTTCAAGAAATCTTTTCTTAAAAAATCATGTTGTTATTCTTGCCGCCTGGGTTAAAAAATTATCTTGTATGAACTATTGGATTTTTTTAGGGGTGGTTATCTCCCTTCTCTGTAAACCTTGATCTTTTTTACTAGCTCAGAATGAGTCAGCACAGAGAATAACGGGATTTCTATTCAAGGGGGTTGCCCTTCTCTATGCTTTGCCTATGATTCTGTTTTTTTTTCCAGAATCATAGATATAGTACACTGCAGTTCAGTTTTTTTTTTCCAGTACTGGTTGTGGAATGTGATTTTCTTGAGTTGTGGCCTATTGGTAACAACTTCTCTAGTCACCCACAAAGGATCGGGGTAAGGTTATGTCCCAATGCTAGCTTTTAATTATAGGATACGGCTGTGATGATGATAAATGAAGTTGTATATAAGTTCGGTCAGGAGATGGAGCAACGCTTATCTTGGCGAGGCAACTCGATATGGCATCTTTGTTTTGCAACCGAGGTCTGCAGCCATGGTGTTGCTTTGTCTCCTTTTGCCTGGTTTTATGACAAATCTGAGCCTCAGGAGAAAAGAATTGGCCGAAAGACGCTTTGTCTCCTTTTGCCTAGTTTTGAGGATTGCTGCTCTTAACTTGTTGGCTTTCTAAAGAAGTTTTCAAGAATATATAGGCATGTACATATTAAGGAAATACAAGAAATCTTTTTTTAAAAAATTATGTTGTTATTCTTGGCGCCTGTGTAAAGATGTTCAATTTGTAATCATCTTGTATTAACTATTGGATTTTTCTAGGGGTGGTTATCCCTCTTCTCTGTAAGCCCTGATCTTTTTTGTTAGATTAGCTCAGAATGAGGCAGCAGATAGAATAATGGGATTTATCCAAGGTTGGTTGCCCTTCTTTCTCGCTACCCTGCTTTAGCCTCCCCCCTTATAACGAACAAGTAAGTATCTACCTGGGCTTGCCACCTTCCTAGTTACTACTTAGTAGCCTTTATGTTTTCCCTGTGATTCTCTATTCTTTTAAAAAAAAACCAACAGTCATCAAGGCTGTGATGATGACAAATGAGTTGTAAAGAGTTGGGTCAGGAATTGGAGCTCTACCCTTATCTTGGCGACGCAACCCGGTAAGGCATCTCTTTTTGCAACCGAGGTCTGCAGCCATGGTGGTTGCTTTGTCTCCTTTTGCCTGGTTTTGTGACAAATCTGAGCCTCAGGGGAAAGAATTAGGCAGCTGAGAGTATGGGATTTCTATCAAGGGTGGTTGCACTTCTCTCACACTACCCTGCTTTAGCCTCCCCCCTTATAACGAGCAAGTAAGTATATTAGCTGAGCTAGCCTCATTCCTAGTTACTACTCAGTACCCTTTATGCTTTCCCTGTGATTTTACATTTTTCAAAGCAAACCAATAGCCGTTTAGGCTGTGTGATGGTGACAAATGAAGGTGTATAGAGTTGGGTCAGGAACTGAAGCTACCCTTATCTTGGCTAGGCAACCCGGTAAGGCATCTCTGTTTTGAAACCAGGGTCTGCATCCATGGCGGTTGCCTTGTCTACTTTTGCCTTGTTTTTTTTTTTTTAAAATCTGAGCCTCAGGAGAAAGACTTGGCCGAAAGACGCTTGAAGTCTTGTGAATTCCCTTTTGTTATGTTAAGCCTAACAAAGGCAAGAATGAGGCAGCAGAGATTATGGGATTTCTATCAAGGGTGGTTTACCCTGCTTTACTCTCCCCCTTATAACGAGCAAGTATACTAGCTGATCTAGCCACTTTCCTAGTTATTACTTAGTAGCCTTATGCTTTCCCTGTGATTCCCTATTTTTCAAACAAACCAACAGCCCTTTAGCTGTGATGATGACAAATGAAGTTGTGTAGAGTTGGGTCAGGAATTGGAGCTAACCTTATCTTTGTGAGGCGACCCGGTAAGGCATCTTTGTTTTGCATCCGAGGTCTGCGGCCATGGCAGTTTCTTTGTCTCCTTTTGCCTTGTTTTTAAAAGAATCTGAGCCTCCGGAGAAAGAATTGGCCGAAAGACGCATGAAGTCTTGTGAATTCCCTTTTGTTAGATTAGCCTAACAAAGGATAGAATGAGGCAGCGGAGAGTATGGGATTTCTATCAAGGGTGGTTGCCATTCTCTCTTGCTACCCTGCTTTAGCCTCCCCTTATAATGAACAAGTAAGTATACTAGCTAGCCAGCTAGCTAGCTGAGCTAGCCAGCTAGCTAGCTGAGCTAGCCAGCTAGCTAGCTGAGCTAGCCACATTCCTAGTTACTAATTGATAGCCTTTATGCTTTCTTTGTGATTCTAAATTTTTAAATCAAATCAACAACCCTAAAGGCTGTGATGATGACTAATGAAGTTGTATAGAGTTGTGCCAGGAATTGGAGCTTCCCTTATCTTGGTGAGGCAACCCGGTAAGGCATCTCTGTTTTGTAACCAGGGTCTGCAGCCATGGCGGTTGCTTTGTCTCTCCTTTTGCCTGGTTTTATGACAAATCATAGCCTTAGGAGAAAGACTTGGCCTAAAGACACTTGAAGTCTTGTGAATTTCCTTTTGCCGGATTGCTGCTCTTAACGATTTTCGATCAAACCCTAAATCAACATTGGATTTAGAGTTACTCCACCGGATTTCTTCTATCCTAATAAAAAGGTTTGTAATTCACGGAACTAAACATCAAGAACCTGTTGTCTTTATCCAATTGATGATTTCCGATCAAAACCCTAAGAAAAAATCAAGAACCTGTTTTCTTTATCAAGTTCTTGTCAAATTATGTTGGAATTCTTGCATGCATTGAAACTTGTTGGCTTTCTAAAGAAGTTTTTAAGAATATATTGGCATTGTACGTATAAGGAAATTCAAGAAATCTTTTCTTAAAGAATTATTTTGTTATTCTTACCGCCTGTGTTAAGATGTTCAATTTGTAACTATATTGTATGAACTATTGGATTTTATGAGCTCAGAATGAGTCAGCGAGAGAATAACAGGATTTCTATTCAAGGGTGGTTGCCATGCTTTGCCTATGATTCTGTTTTTTTTTTCAAAATCATAGATTTAGTACACTACAGTTTTTTTCCCAGTACTGGTTGTAGACTGTGATTTTCTTGAGTTGAGGCCTATTAGAAACGACTTCTCTAGTAACCCACAAAGGATCGGGGAAGGTCTATCTACCAATGGTAGCTTTTAATGATAGGATAAGGCTGTAATGATGATAAGTGAAGTTGTATAGAGTTGGGTCAGGAAATGGATGGAGCAACACTTATCTTGGCAAGGCAACTTGGTAAGGCATCTTTGTTTTGCAACCGAGGTCTGCAGCCATGGCGTTGCTTTGTTTCCTTTTGCCTGGTTTTATGACAGATCTGAGCCTCAGGAGAAGAGAATTGGCTGAAAGACGCTTTGTCTCCTTTTGCCTAGTTTTGGGAATTGCTGCTCTTAACTTGTTGGCTTTCTAAAGAAGTTTTCAAGAATATATTGGCATGTACATATTAAGGAAATGCAAGAAATCTTTTTTAAGAAAATTATGTTATTATTCTTGGTGCTTGTGTTAAGATGTTCAATTTGTAATTATCTTGTATTAACTATTGAATTTTTTTATGGGTGGTTATCTCCTTCTCTGTAAGCCCTGATCTTTTTTGTTAGTTTAGCTCAGAATGAGGCAGCAGATAGAATAATGGGATTTTTATTCAAGGGTGGTTGCCCTTCTCTCTAGCTACCCTTCTTTAGCTTCCCCCCTTTAACGAGCAAGTAAGTATACTACCTGAGCTTGCCACCTTCCTAGTTACACTAAGTAGCCTTTATGCTTTCCCTGTGATTCTCTATTCTTTTAAAAAAAAAACCCAACAGCCCTCAAGCCTGTGATGATGACAAATGAAGTTGTAAAGAGTTGGGTCAGGAATTGAAGCTACCCTTATCTTGGCGAGGCAACCCGGTAAGGCACCTCTGTTTTGCAACCGAGTTCTGCAGCCATATTGGTTGCTTTGTCTCCTTTTGCCTGGTTTTGTGACAGATCTAAGCCTCAGGAGAAAGAGTTGGGCAGCGGAGAGTATGGGATTTCTATCAAGGGTGGTTGCCCTTCTCTCTCGCTACCCTGCTTTAGCCTCCCCCGTTATAACGAGCAAGTAAGTATACTAGCTGAGCTAGCCACATTCCTAGTTACTACTCAGTGGCCTTTATGCTTTCCCGGTGATTCTCCATTTTTTAAAACAAACCAACAGCCCTTAAGGCTGTGATGATGACAAATGAAGTTGTATAGAGTTGGGTCAGGAATTGGAGCTACCAGCTACCCTTATCTTGGCGAGGCAACCCGGTAAGGCATCTCTGTTTTGCAACTGGGGTCTGCAGCCATGGCGGTTGCTTTATCTCTCCTTTGCCTGGTTTTATGACAAGACCAAGTCTGAGCCTCAGGAGAAAGACTTCGCCGAAAGACGCTTGAAGTATTGTGAATTCCCTTTTGTTAGGTTAACCTAACAAAGGCAAGAATGAGGCAGCAGAGAGTATGGGATTTCTATCAAGGGTGGTTGCCCTTCTCTCTCGCTACCTTGTTTTAGCCTCCCCCCTTATGAAGAGCAAGTAAGTATATTAGCTGAGCTAGCCGCATTCCTAGTTACTACTTAGTTGCCTTATGCTTTCCCTGTGATTCCCTATTTTTTAAATCAAACCAACAGCCCTTAAGCTGTGATGATGACAAAAGAAGTTGTATAGAGTTGGGTCAGGAATTGGAGCTACCCTTATCTTTGCGAGGCAATCCAGTAAGGCATCTCTGTTTTGCTACCGAGGTCTGCAGCCATGGTGGTTGCTTTGTCTCCTTTTGGCTGGTTTTATAACAAATCTGAGCCTTAGGAGAAAGAATTGGCTGAAAGACGCTTGAATTATTGTGATTTCCCTTTTGTTAGGTTAGCCAAAAAAAGGCAAGAATGAGACAGTAAAGAGTATTGGGATTTCTGCATAGGTGTTTTATCTTTTGTTTCATCACTCTGTGACTGTTTGGCGGAGGAGTATATTCTTATGTCAAAATAAATGTGCGTCCCTCTTTACATAGTCAAAATTATGATCTTTTGTTTGATTCTACATAGTCAAGATTATGATCTTTTGTTTGATTCTTGCATTTATCTTCGTTGAACGTTACACTCATTGTCATGTTCATGCTGTAGATGACCGAAATTGTAATGGAAGATCTGCCTGAGAAGGTAATGATTTTCTAAAAAACATTGATGTGCTATTTCAACTTGGGGTCTGTAACTTAGTGAATTATGAGGTCCTATCTGGATAAAAGAGGAGAACTACCTTTCTTGATTCCGAGCAAGAATTGGTACATTTATGGTCATCTAATATGAATTATATAGTTTATCTTTGCCATGTGCCGCTTGGCTTGTGGGAAGTCTTGAAACTCTTTATAATAGGTAACGTTGATTTTGAGTCTTCGACCATGCTTTTGCAGGTCATCCCTGAAATTGGTTACCAATTATTACACAATTATGCTGACCAAATTCAGAACAGGTATTGGACCTGCAACGTTCATTCGCAAGCATCAAGATCATGTACCAGGTAAGTTACGGATCTTTGTTTAGATTTTTATCAGAATTAGTCTATGGAACTTGATAAAATTGCTATTTACCAGAAGCAGTTGCACTAATTTTTGCGTCATTCACTAAAGTTAAACTTATCTCTGAGCATGAAGTTGGTTTGGTTATAGCTGTAGCAGGGACCTAAATCTGTTTCACAAGCAGCCAACGTCTGTCACACCTCTTGCAGTAATATTCTCTAATACTTGTCTCTGTCATATTATACATTGAAAAGTTAAGTACATGGAAACCTTTTGCAAATTAGTCTTAGAAGGGAAAGGTATTATAGTGTTGATTGTAGTTGTTAATACAGGATAGGGAAGTGACATCAACTATTATGAAAGATGAATTGAGATTCAGAATTCTTGGAAATAAAGATACGCCTGTAGAGTATAAATACACAAGGGCTGAGAGAGATAGCTCACTTACATTCTTGAACCTTTTACCATATTTTATAGCTTATTCACTTTAGCATGCCTATTCCTCCCTCTGAAGTATATATGCATGTCCTAGTGTGGTAAAAAGCATGACACTTCTGCTCAGTCTAGTTATTCCATTAGGAGGTATCAATACAACAGTTTATATCAGTTCTGTGCTCTTGTTTAAAGCTATAATGGTTTTTGGGTTTAAGATTTTCAAGTGTCGTTTGTGCGCATTGTCTCTTATGGTCTAGTTTATGTTTTAATTGTGCTGATTATAGTGAGTGAATTATGAATTGTAACTTCTAAGGGGAGAACCTTTTTTATTCTAATACCATCAGTAACAAGATGATGCTAGAGGTTCTCTCTTTTCGAATTATAAGGTCGTGAAGCTCGAATTGCTTCCAACTTACTTTGGAAAATCATTCATGACATCATTCATTTTTAGGAGATACTCCACTAGCTAAACTTGTATGTGTTTCATAAGAAAATGGTTGTGTTCGTGATAGTACAGGTTCCATGTATTTTTCCAGATGTGTCCATTGATCAACTATTTGGTGTTCCTATGTGTGCCTTCTTGGAAACGATCAAACGAAGATTATGAATTAATTAAGTTTGGGTACGTTATGAAGTGTTACTATATGGGCAGGTTGGAACCTTTCAACTACACCTAGGTGGTTGTTTCGGCGTTAACTTAACTGATGTGGATCTGTTAGAGTTTCTTCAACAGGTAAGTCCATCGACTCTAATTAGCTCTCATATTCACTCCTCCTAGGTACTTGTTTACCCTTTTTAAGTTTCAATACTCATTTATGATTTTGCTAGGTATCGAATGAAAGTTGTGGAGTTGTTCTTGAAGGCCCCTGTCACGACCGGAATCTAGACCCCAGACGAGACCGGCGTCGTTGACCTCTCAGAGGTCGCAGACAAGCCTGCTTACGTCATTCTTACTTTACATAGATTAATTTTAGCGGAAAATTTGAAATTTTTGATTCTTTAATCATACTTGCTGAACATTCTTAACATTTCGTAATCGTTCATCATCAACCATCTAACATTTAAGAGATAAGCAACTGAAAGAAATAATTCATTAAGTATTAATTGTATATCGGCCAAAATAGCACCAATACAAAGTTTGAACCAAAACAGGAAAGAAACGCTAGTGGAACATGTTCCGCTAGCTCAACTCTAAAACTACGCTAGAATGTAAAACAGTAGCATCCTCGAAAGCATGAGGACCTACCAAACTCCGGATGAATACTGATGTCCGGATAGCTGCAACAACGAACCTGTAGCTCTAGCGTCCACCTGTGCCTGCACCTAAAAATAGATGTTCGTATGGAATTAGTACACACTTGTACTAAGTATGAGTATATGCAAGTACACACCAGGGACATGCATGAGGAAGAATAGCTCTTTCCTAACAACATGATTTTTGGAAGTCAAGTCAGTGGACTTGCCAAATTGAGATTGGGAAAGTTATGCCATGAGAGTGACATGCATCATTATAATTATCGTATAGCACACAAAACATAACATATTCATATAACACATAACATATAACACATACTTTCTTTCATATTATTCATTCGTATACTATGAGACCTTATTATCATAGACTTAACTTTAAGACTTTCCAAAATGAGGGCTCAACATATGGGACCTCAACTAGGGAGCCTTCTTTAGCAAACACAGAGTCTGCTTCACTCATTCATTCGTATTTCATTTCAATTCATTCATAGGCCAGTGCGAACACCAGCTATACCTAGGATGTAGTTTAAGACTTTCATCGGGTTTGCTGTGCAATGATCAGGAATGACCTAATGTCATTACCTGAATCTAGCTCACCTCTTGATTATCCTATCCTAACACCTTCGGTATCATTCATTTCTTTATATGATTCATTTGAGGCTGGCCTCATTCATTCATTGGGAACTTTAACTTTAACCGACATAGATCATGTGAGCATCATGAAATCCAGTGTCTTCCCCACACCGAAAAGAGGTGGAATCACCGGCCAAAGCGATTCAAATAACATGCTAGCGTATATGGGAATTTAACCCCGCCAGATCCCTATAGTGGCAATATAGGTTCAAAGACTAGGAGATGTGTGGAGACCCATACCCGGCAAGCCGGACAGTCTCATCTCATGAGAATTACGTGAACCTCCGCCCTTCCCGAAAGAAGGCATCACCGCTCATAGCTAGCCTATCGGTGCTCAGTATAAAGTTCCATTACATCCAACTCATACATCATGGAAGTTGTCTTCTAGTATGAGGGCATCATAGCTCAATAGATGATTTCTCATCTCATTATTAGTATTAAGTGTTTTAAACTCAATATTTTTCATTAAAGTACTTATAGAGACTGGTCTCTTCATTATCTTACACCCTCATTGATGAATACGTATTGGTAACATTTACTTAGGCTCGTTTGAGATTGCTCTCTCCATATACATTAGCCTCACATCATGATTGTCACCACATTCTTCATTTCATTACGTACATCTCCTCCTGCTGGTAGAATTGAACGTATGTTAAACTTATGTGTCTATACATACAAGCCATGGGGCTTCGTTTATAGTTCGTTAAGTGATTCTTATTTTCCTAAGATTATGTATTACAAGACTTATGTATCTTGTATATATACCAAGATCTTGATTTTTGATCAAAGTAGATTACATTATTCTTGAATATTTTACTCACGTATGACTTATGTATCAATACGGAGGTTTGGGCACGAGAACCCAAATCTTGAATTATTTGGACATCATTTATATTTTTCATTGATTTTAGTTCTAATATTCATAAATTTAGAACTCTAAATTAAATCTCAACATTTTCGTGACATAATACATTTTCTATTTTAATTAGAATTCTAAATTAAATTTCAATCATTTACATGAAAGAATAATTTCCTAATTTAATTAGAATTCTAATTTAAATCTCAATATTTACATAAAAGAATTAGTATTCTATTTTTAATCAAAATTCTAAATTTAATCTCAATGTTTACATAAGAGAATTAATTTTTTTCAACTTTAATTAGAATTTTAATTTATTATTATTATTATTTTTAATTACATTCGCTTGAATAGGGAGGTTGTGGGTTCGAACCCCCACAGCCCCCTTTATTTTTCTCTTATTTTCGCTGGAAATGGAGGCTGTGAGGTGGTGGGTTCGAACCCCCACAGCCTCACCTTTATTTCCTTAATATTTGTACCCCTCCCTTCAACTCTGAGGTCGTGGGTTCGATCCCCACGCCTCGCATCCCTTTTTATTCTTTTTTTTTTTTCGCGAACTGGGGGTCGTGGGTTCGATCCCCGCCCCCAGCATTCCCTTTTAAATCTTTTTTTTTTTTTTGCGCGTGGCTGGGGTCGCGAGTTCGATCCCTGCCAGCCCCATTTTTTTTTTTTAATTAAGGCATGCTGCAGGGAGGTCCTGGGTTCGATCCCTGCAGGCCTCAAAACTTTTTTTTTTAAATTTTTTGATGTTCAAAAATTTCCAGATTCTTTTAAAGTCTGTTTTCAAGTTCTGGAAATTTATTCTACGATTTTTCTTCACTTTTTCATCAAGTTTAACATTAATTCTTAGGGAAATTTCATGGTTCATTCATAATGTTTTAATTACACATTATATTTTTTTTTATAGATTCGTCTAACCAAGAATTACTCCCTCAATCAAGCCACCTAACATTTCATATGAACTTCACGTCTTACCCCATTTTATTCACGAAAAATATACAATCATATTACATTAAACTTTTGGAGCATTACATAAAGAACCTCATTCACTGTAACATACTTACACATAATTTCAAGAAAAACATGGTTGCCTTTCATACGATTCCAAGTACACAAACATAATCATATTCATCGCGAAAACATAATATACACCTAAATCTACCAGCAATCATACCCAACCTAAAATTCATTGGGAGCTAGTGACAGGGGCATGCAACGGGAAACAGCCTTAGTTTCGAGATGAATAACTTGAATCGTAAGGGGCCTCTTGGGAAAGGAGCCAAGAGAGAAGAAACCCATACCTTAATCGATGTTCAAACTTTAATGTTGCTGCCCGGAAAACTCCTCCAAACCACTCCCAATTCACTTCAACGCACACCTCTCTCGACGAACCTCTCTTAGCCTTGACGTTTTGATTACTTATTTTCTTTTACTTGAAAATTTTTTTGTGAGTTTTTCAAGCATGAAAACTGTTGATGTTTTTGGCAGAAATAATGTGATGAAGATGGAGAACGTGAGAGAGAGAGTTAAGGAGCGTGAGAGAGAGAGGACTATTTGGATTAGGAGACTAATTCAAAAATCAGTCAAATAATAAATAAATACAAATCTGTTTTTGATTTATTTATTTATTTATTCATTTAAAACGTGAAAGGACAATTACGCCCTTTAAATACTTATTTATTCTTATTTATATAAAAAAAAATTTTTGAATCGTTACATTATCCCCCCTTAGGAACATTCGTCCCCGAATGACACTACCATTACACCTCATAATGCCAATCAGATCATAACTTAATTGCTATGTACAATCAGCCAATAGCAACAAATACGAAGAGATAAGGAACTATAGTCTTATGAGTAGGAAGCCTAACCCCAAGAGTTGAAAAGATGTGGATATCGGGATCTCATGTCGGCCTCGGCCTCCCACGTAGCACCCTCAACAAGATGGTTTCTCCATAATACCTTCACTGTGGCAATCTCCTTGTTCCTTAGCCGCTTGACCTGTCTGTCTAAGATCTCAACAGGTATTTCCTCATAGGACAAGTCTTCACCAACCCCCAAACCTTCTACAGGTAGGATTGATGCTGGATCACCTAGGCACTTCTTCAACATAGAGACATGAAAGACTGGATGAACAGAAGCTAGCTCCGCAGGCAATGCTAACTCATAGGCCACCTCACCCACGCGTTGTAGGATCTCATATGGCCCCACATATCTCGGACTAAGCTTCCCTTTTCTACCAAATCTCATCACCCCTTTCATAGGAAATATCTTCAAGTAGACCTGGTCACCAACGTTAAATTCTAAGGGTCGTTTTCTGTTGTCTGCATATGATTTTTGTCGGCTGTAAGCAGTAGACAACCTGTCCCTAATCAGTCTAACTTTCTCCAAGGCCTCATGAATGATCTCTGGACCCAAAATAGATGACTCTCCAACCTCGAACCACCCAACTGGAGATCTACACCTCCTACCATACAATGCCTCAAACGGTGCCATCCCAATGCCGGAGTGATAGCTATTATTATACGAGAACTCTATCAAAGGTAGATGGTCATCCCAATTACCTCTAAAGTCGATCACACACGCCCTTAACATGTCCTCCAATGTCTGAATAGTGCGCTCTGCCTGCCCATCTGTCTGAGGATGAAAGGCAGTGCTAAGTTTCACCTGCGTGCCTAAGCTTTTCTGGAAAGATCTCCAAAAATGTGAAGTAAACTGAGCTCCTCTATCTGAAATAATAGACAAAGGGATCCCATGCCATCTCACAATCTCATCAATGTAAAGTCTCGCGTAATCCTCGGCCCTGTAAGTAGACTTCACTGGGATAAAGTGGGCAGACTTAGTCAATCTGTCCACAACAACCCATATAGAGTCATGCTGCCTCCTAGTCCTCGGAAGACCAACTACGAAGTCCATATTAATGGCCTCCCATTTCCAAGTCGGAACCTCAATGATCTGAGTCAGACCACCAGGCTTAAGATGCTCTGCCTTAACCTGCTGACAATTAGGACACTTAGCCACATAGTCTGCAATATCCCTCTTCATGCCATCCCACCAATAAATCTGCTTAAGATCATGATACATTTTTGTGGAACCTGGATGTATGGAATATCTGGACCCATGGGCCTCTGTAACAATCTTGGTCCGTAAATCATCTACATCTGGTACGCACAACCGGTTCTGGTATCTAAGTATGCCATCATCTCCCAAAGCAAAA